TATTTCAATGATGTTGCATCGCAAAGGTAGTATTGTGGTTTTGGAAAGTGTTCGAAAATCTGGACCGAAATGTGATTTTTTTGGTATTTACTTAGTCGACTCGGGGTTTTCTGCATCGAGAACTCAGACCTGAGTTTTGGGCGATCCTAAATTTCATTACCACGAATACGTGAAACTTTCGAAAGATTGAATTGATCCTCCCGCCCAAGAAAAGGAAGGTCTGGCGCTGAGATAAAGCTAGAGGTATGTGGACTCTGGGTGTTATGGCCGATTGGCTTTACTACCTCCATAGGTAACTGCCGTATTTTTCGGGTCATCCACTCAATGGTGACCAGCTGAGACTCTAGGGGAAAGATAGAGGGGCATGCACGTACAGGTAGCGCGAGAGGCCGAGAGGGGGTCCCAGTCTCGAACAGTCGACTAGAGGTACTTGGTCGAGCATAAGCAGCAGGTGCGTTGTGCCGTTGTGGTGTCAAGTTGTCAGGTACGGCAAGAACCAAGCTTCAAAGGAGGGGAGGAACGACACCCAACCCAGGGGCATGGGAAAGGTCGAATGAGGAGTGACTCGGAAGTCGGGCTGCAAAAAATCACACCTTAATCTCCCTCCTCCCCTGTCCCCGCCGTCTCCGCCGGTGTGGCCGGTCTCCGACTCGCTCCTGCCCTGTGGCCTCTCCAGTGACGGGCTCGGAATGGAGAATTCGGAACCCCATCCTATCAGTCTCCGCTCGTCGTGCCCGACGGGGGGGCCGGTTGCTCCTGGGCTTCCCTGTGTGCCTCCTCTTGTCCCCTGAGTGGTAGAGCCCGTACAAAGTAACAAAAGCCCCCAATCCCGGCATGTCAAAAGATACTGCGTAACACAAGGGCTACTAGTGCCAGCCACGTATGCCGTCACCTCATCAACCTAGCTTCTCTTCATACCTATCTCTTACCCTGCTTCTCAGTCTCTATGATTATCAATCAATGGCTTGGCCAGGTATAGCAGCACATACCGATCCATGTAGTGATCAATCATTTACTGACTTGTTCCAAAATTCTCCCGCAGCCAAGACCACTGATACTCACACAGCCCCAATGGCCCAGTCTTTTCCTTTCCCTATCATATGGATGAAACTGGAATGGGCAGCAGGACCGAAGGAATTCCTGCGAGGTCATCCCTGTTTTCGTAAGCACGAGTGGTCTGCTGTGGCATAGACTACCTATGGAAGGATTGCGTGGACAACAGCCGGCCGCAGGATAGGGCACCCGGTTCCCCGTGGGAGCGGTTCTATGTACCCTCATCGTTTTCCTTGAAAGTCCGTGGAAGTTCTTGGAATAGATGGCCGATTTACCTTACTAGATGAAGGTAGGAAAAGGTAGATCTCTCATCACTGGTAATGACGATATGGTTCTCTAGACCTGGCGAACCACTAATAGTGTACCCAAGTGTAGTGTACGACCAACGCAAGCAGCAGGCAGGCAAAGCTGAAGAAGGAATACTACGTACATACAGTGCTGCAATTCCTCGAGGAAAATCCTACAAAGGCGAAGGTGGGACATGAAAGATGCCGCCACAACCGAGAAGCCTGAAGAGACAGACGAACAAGAACGAGACATGGTGAGTGCAGGCGGGGTAGAGAAGAAGGATTGATGTGTCCCGGGCCTGCCCATGGGAAAATCCTGAGAGAGGACCAACAAGGGGAAAGAGAACACTGTTCCCCGATGGGCGGACTGAAAACTGGAGCTAACAAACAATCCCAGTACCAGGAATGAGACAGTGAACTTTCAGAGCGCCCGCAAAGCTCATTGGCCTCGAGCCTTTTGGGCTTTTGGTTTTTCCCAATCTCCTCATGGCCTTCGGTGCCTGGGCTGCCCATTACTCGCACTGCCAGCAGGCCTCCATGACTCTTGATGATTATCAAGAGTGAAGGGAAAAAAAAAAAAAAAAAAAAAAAAAAAAAAAAAAAAAAAGCCGGATTACTCAAAGGCCAATCAGAGTCCGGTCCAAGACGGAAGCATAGTGGGATACAACCAAGCTCACCAACCTCACCAAAGTACTGAACATGACTCTTCAGTCCAAACACACTTGCCGCTCCTATGAGAGTGTAATACACGGCTCTACAGGGCTTGAATGGATGATAACCCGTCGGCATGGATCTTTGGAAATAAGTGGCGATAACCTTATTTCTCACACATGGACAAGATACCTACAGTAGATCCGGTCTGTCCGTACCAGTCAACAACAGGGTTCACTCCATGCAGGTGTGTAATCAGGGCGGTCGAGTAAGGTGAAAGTGGATGGAATGAGAAGGAAGAGCTGTTGTTAACATGCCTGTCATGGGCAGTGGCGGATCCCCTACTACATACAGAATCCAGATCCGGATCGTGTTCCCAACAAGAAGGGTTTCGGTCGATCAAGTCACTTTTTGATGCCCATTCTCCAACTGCATATCCCATCCTACTTCACACTCTTGTTGTTTCTTTAAATGCCTCATTTCCTTGTTTTCCATCATTGTGTTATGCTGAAACTCGCTGATGTTCGTTCGAAGAGACCTTTGGTCTCATTTCTAGTACTGTTGGGGACTGGGAATTTGTTTGTCGACAAAACAATACAGGTCAACAAAAACTGTGGTAACCTTTACTTGAAAAAGGGGTATCTGACTCAAAGTTCTTAGCAATATAGCTGTTTAAAACCCTCAGCTCTCAGAGTAGTGGTTTTTAGTCAGTCGGGATATCCTTCTCCCCGTATCGTATAGAAATCGTAATAGCAGCGGCCGGTCGTATAAATTTCACAGTGCGACGAGTGGGAGAATGACGCAGCACAGAGCACGAACCACACCTGCCGTGTAATTTACAGGAAAAATACAACTCTTTGGGGCAGGCACCAAACAGGCACTTGTACAGCAAGACCAGACAGCATGCCGTCCGAGTCCCTTGACAAGAACATCAACAAAGTTGAGGCCCTTTGTCATATTATTAATGTACAAAACAACACATTGGTCAGTTTCATTTGGGAAATGTGAAACGTCGGTACCTCTACGTAAGATGGCTAGAGGTACTGAAACTGCCCATCTGAAAGACGAAGTCTGGAAGGGGATGAAAATAAATCAAAAAAATCTCTGAAGCTATTCACACGTCTTGGCATATATCTGCGAGACTTCCTGGGAACGACTGGAGGTCTGGAGCGGGGGGCCGGACTTTGCTCCTGTCTTTGCCTCTTGGTGAAAAGACCCTTGAATTCCGGCGCCAATCGGCGATGAGAATTGGCTTGGCGGAGCCGCGCGGGCCCCCCTGCTGATCACGTCGCTCAATCCCGCGCATGACAAAAAGAGAAAAGGTTTGTAGTGGGTTAACACTTATAGAATTGATATACAACTTGCTTACCTTTATTCTGAAAGGACCATACTTATTTATGTTCTCGAAGCATTGAGATTTGCATCAGCGTTTGTTAGACACCAATATCCGCAGTGTATCATGCTGTTGCCATGATTATCCCAAAAGTCGGAAAGCATAACAAAATAAGAAGAAACTTATCCCCAGGTCAGCACCGGATAAGTTACCCACAAAAAAATCCATACTGAGTGCTGACGCCGGGCTGCATAACCTTTTTTGCCTGCCGTCATCTTATCACTCCGTCTCCTCGTACATGCTGCACGACCCATCACTTCGAGAAATAACAAACAGGCTTTTTCACGTCCTTCCAACAGCATGACAAAGTCACTTCTTCTCTTCGTTCCTTCAAGCATTCACCATGTTTCCACATTTCAGATTCATCCTAGTTAGACTCGATGCGATATGGGTTTCTTCTGATGTTGAAAGAACATGAAGGCGTCATTCATTCATACAATTGGCTCCCTAGTTAATGGCTGCCTCCGCATCTTCTTTTCCAAAGTATGTACGGTCGTTACCCGAGGAGAGTAGTGACTGAGAGATAGGCCCCCAGGGCCCTTTGACTTTCTCGCCTCTCCTGTTGTTTCCCATTTTACAGCCGCGAAAACGTGTCTGGAAAAATTGGGGGTCTGTACCACTGCAACGCTTCCATCATAATGTAAGGTTGATACCTACCGTCTCAGATACTGTGTACCTCGCACTTATACACTACCTACCCAGTCCCTTACATAAGCGGACCTTGTGCAAGCTTCGCCGCTTGTGCAAACCGGAGGTGCTCCGACGGAGGAGACTCCGCGTCCCCGGCCGGTCCGCCGTCGCCCCTTGCAACCTACATACCCAAGTAAATTAAGGTACGGTCCCTACGGGAGGCTCTGCAAAATTCTTCTTGGACCCCGGCCAAGATTCGGCACATCTTTCAGGGGGGCACCCGAGGCCCGGGGGCGGGATGGATGTTCTCCCCCCCCCCCCCCCCCCCCCCGAGTCCCCGACCCGGCGACCACTACGTATCAGCTCCTCTCCCCCCCTCCCCCCCCAAACATATCCCGGGTATAATCTTTTTATCCACATTGTCTTTTTGAACATTGTAACTACATGATATGAGTGTACATCGGGCCCTTGCCTTGCCTTGGTGTAAATCTACCTCTACATAGGTAGTTTAGAATGGACTTCCAACAGATGTCGAAAAAACTTTCAGCTGCAACTGACTGTCTGATGAACTGAGGAGATTTTTCAAAGTTTATATGTGTTGCATACCAAATCGGGCGTCGTTTCCCTTTTCCTTCGGTTCTTTGACCGCCCACGGCATATCCCGTTTCCCATTCTGCATCATGGATAAGGAAAAACAAAACTCTCGGTCTCAGAAAGAAGAAGGTTGGCCAAAAATCTCCAAGAGCAAGGTAGTGGGAGATAAACAAACAAATAAATCGCTTCGCAAGGGAAGTCAATAATTATATATAAACATACCAACCAACTCCAACTGCAACATATAGAGGGTACATGGAATCAGCCCTCTCTAAGAATATTATTACCTACTACGTCTAACGTTTCGACTTGGGACATAAAATTAATATCTCCCCACGCAAGATGTTAAGACCGAAAAGTTGCAAAAAAATGAAAAAAGTAAACAACTCAAGTCCCCTCGACCGGAATCGAGCCGGTGACCTTTCGGTATACAATCTTGTTTTCAATTACAGCCGAACGTGATAGCCAACTACACCACAAGGGGATTTTTTTTTGAAGTTGTTATTTGTTGGAAGCAGGGGGTCGGAAGTTGGGTTTAAGAATACCAATTGACATTATAATGCGCATGTCATTTTTGGGAGTCGTGAAAGGCCCTTGTGCACACCATATGAACGTGTTTGGGATAGTCTTCAAGAACTTGAAATCTGAGGTCCACATGCCGAGCAGCTCCTTGCTAGTTGCGTGTGGGGCCTCATTAAGAGCAAGACAGCTGGCTTGAGGCCATCACGATTTCCAGGGGGAAGTAAACAACCAAGTGTCCTGGTACTGTCCAGGGCAAGTGACGGTTCACAATCAACAAAGCGAGGACAGCGGCTCATACTGCGGTTTGGTATTCAACTAGTTAACGAAGAAGTATCGAAATCCCCTTTCAACCAGAAGGTTCCTCATTCTATCCACCTTAGCCCTTGGTCCATAAGAAGTCAAAAAGGGGGGTTCCTCCCAGATGCAGGACCCCGAATGAGTGTGTTCGCAGAACTGAAGTTAAGCGAGAAAAAAATGGGAGGGAAAATTCCCGCTGGCCAGGCAGGAACACAAAAGGCTTTCCCTCCCGAAGAAGAAAACAGCAGTAACAATGAACAGAAAATGAAACAAAAAAGACCAAGAGCTCAGTTCTCAAACCCCCTCACGGCCTCACCTCCGTTGGGACCGCACCTACCTCCACCCCTGCCGACTTGCACGACGTTCGGCGATCATCCGCTCCTTCCGCTCCTTCCCTGATACACCACTAGACGACTAGCCGGACGAGATGAATAACTTCAACCGCCCGGCCTTATCCGCTCCCATCCTTCCATGTCGTCCGCACCTGCCACTGAAGTTCTCCAGCTCGAGCATCAATGCCCCGTTTCTTCTCTTCCTCATCCATCTCCGCTCTGAAGAACGCGCCACACCACCACTCTCGCCAACCTCCGACTCTACAGTTCAGTTCCCTACCCCTTTGCCCTACAGTAACCACTTCCCAGATCCCCCCCCCCCCCCCCCCCCCTCCCTCAGCTTCGAATCGAGCCCAATCCAACTGAATCCTCAAGCCCAATCCCAACTCCCCTGCAAAACACCCACACCCAAACTAGCCCCCAACGCCTGAAACGCCGCGGGACTCAGATCCAACGCACCATAGCCGCAAGACGGCGACGGGCACCGATCAACAACCTTGACCGTCACACTTCTTCCGTTGGCATTAACCCTGATATTTCTGTTGCACAGCGTGTTGCGGTTGGGATTACCGCCGGGCGTGGACGGGTCGAACTGCGCGGCGTTCAGCGCCGCGACCATTTGGCTGTCGTTGGACCAGAATCCGCAGGCGCCGAGGCCGGTGTTGAACCAGGTGATGCGGGAGTTGAAAGCGCGGGGATTGAGGGATTGATCATCGGGAGAGGAGCGGATGGCGATGGGAAGGCCGGCGTCGGGAGCAGGGATGGGGGCCGGGGCCGGGGCTGGGGCGGCGAAGGTGCCGAGGGGCAAGAGGAAGAGGGAGAGGGTGCTGGTGAGGATGGTGTGGAAGAGCATTTTGGTCTGTTGTTGAGTCCTTGAGACTTGATTTGGTGTTGAGCTTGTAGGTAGGTCAAAGATGCCCGTTTAGCTTGAGCTTGAGGAGGCTGGACTTGGGCTTTGGAAGTGAGCTGCCTCTGTCTGGAGATTGGATTTGACATGGAGTCTAGGTGAGGTTATCACCACCCCTTTATACTTGTTCACTCGGAAGAATTTTGAGAGGACTTCGGCCTGGACGTCGTCAATACTGGCCATCGCCTGAGAGAATATTGGGGTGATAGCTTGGAGGTTTGAAGGTTCAAGCCACCCATCATCTCGTCGAGAGTCGAGACGCCGGACGGCACAAAAATGAGGGGGAAAAGAAAGGATTTTCAACTCTCATCACCAACGAGCCGCTCGAATATCGACTATTGACTGCGGGGACACCATTTTGCCGAAGGTTTACATCGTCTTGGAGCATGGCCCAGAGGAATCTATGGCTGGACTTGCACGTCGTCGAGATGTTGGATGTTGGAGGAGAGGGGAGAGTGTTCCGTGTGTGCCGTTATCACATTCCTTTCCCCGGATTCTGGGAGCAATCCATGCTTGCTCACATGGGTCTACCGGGATCCATGGGAATCGGCTCGGCAAGCAAGCCAGTGCGGGAAGTGACTGGTTTAAGCTTAAGAATTGGGACAAAGGCGGAATGTTTGCATCCCGTGCTTTCATCACCAGCACTGTGGACGATGTCAGTATCCCAGTTACACCAAGATAAGCGGCAACCAGGGGTGCCTGTTAATCTATGAGAGTGCGCCATCTGAAACTGGGAATGGACTAGATTCAAGCGCCTGACTGACAAGGCGGAATCGTCACACTTGATGGTGAGTGGTAGGGCTGGAGCATGCAAAACTTCTCCATTATGGAAAGAGGAGGGCATAGCATAAGCCATGTGGCTTGAAGTGGATAAACTGCGAGCGGGGAAATCTTCATCGGCATCAGGAAATACAGTTTCCTGGTCGTGATTCAAGCGGGAGAGATCAAGAAGATGCTGCACTTGCCGAGACCGAACAATATCAAGCGCTTGGGTGGAATGCAGGGAGCACCAAGTGTGAGTAAGACTGGAGGGAGGAGCAGGACTTTAGGAAAAAGAAGTAGCTAATGACGAGGACGTGTGCCTCTGACTTGAATCACAATATGACTGTCACTGATCATGCTGAACACGGTTGAAAACTGGCAATTGGGAAAAACAAGCGCTTGGGAATTTATGAACACACTCCATAACGCAACCACGCACTCATCAGTCAGCCAGCCTCAGCTCTTCCTATGTTCAAGGCATATGGCCCGTTGTCTACCTCCCACCACTTAAGCTCTATCGGCCTAACCCCACTATGCAGACAAGCCAAAATAAATAAAGCAAATTATTACGCTGAAGGAAGCCGATGATTACCCTACTGTGAAAGTTTGTCAAAATAACAAAGCAAAGCAAATGTGTAAGAAAACAAGTAAGCATGGTGTACTGATACCAAAGCAAAGCAAATTCTACCCAACTTTGGCTTTGTCTGCACCGCTGGCCCAACCAAGAGTGCCTCCGTCGGCATTCCAGACCGTGTAATAAGCCTTGATCAATGGACTTCCAAACACCCAGGCAGGACGACCCTCGAGTGGTTCATAGAAGGGGGGATCTGAGTGGGAAAACGCAGCCTGGCAGACTCCTTTCCTTCCAGGATACTCGCCCAAGTTGAATGCACTCTTTGGAAGGGTCACGTCAACCAAATCTCCTCCGGTTTTGGTCCCAATGGTGAAGGTGATGTCCATCGCGACTCCGTCAAGTGTAGCACAACTGGCACCCCACGAGCCTACATCATCGAGGGGGATGATGTCCCTGGAAATGTTGGCATAGAGATCCGCAGCTGTTTGTCGGTCAGGGGTCAACATGTAGGCAGTTGCAGAGTCGACAAAAGAGACCCCCGGCGTGAGTGGCTTGTTGTCGTTTGTCGAGTTACGCCAGGGTTTTTTGTTCTTTCCGGAGCCAACGTAGCTAGCTTGTACGTCTACAATGAACGTTTCGAAGAGCTCGCTGAGGGCTTCATTGACGTTGACGTTCTTGATGCGGCCGCGATAGCGTGCACCGTCGACTCCCCCAATGGAGGCTTCAGGCCCAAGCTCTTGGTGCTTACCACCTGACCCGAGAGCTAGGCCAACGATTCGGTTTGGACTTTGAGCCTCGACGACTAGGCCTGGAAGGAAGGGAACGTAGGTAAAATCTCCGTCGTCGGTCCAATCTGAGACGACGCTGGAGCCAATACCGAGGATTCCATCGGCGAGTTGGGAAGACAAGGCTCCGCCGTAGTTATGGCAGAGCATGAACTGTTGTTTGGAAACGGAAAGGCCTTGTATCGCGACAGTGTCGGTGACAACTACGCATTCTGCTCGACCGGTATTGTTGGGTGGAACAGTGTCTGCACCAGCATCGTACTCTATGGTGTTGTTGAGTGCAGGCTGAGGGTCAAACGTTGTGGACTTGGATGGGTCGAAGAGCGAATGCTTCCCACAATCGGTACAGTTGCTTCCAGGGAGGATAAGAGCGTTTGACCCGGTGTCTAAAACCACTTTGCTGTCATTGACGAGGTTAGCTTCGTTTGCTACTTGTCCATGTCACTTTGGGTTCACGCGTCAACTTACAAAGTCTGGGGAGGGGTGCCAACCGTGATTGTTGCCAGCCACTGTAGTTCAGTCTTTCCGTCGTTCCTCGAATACACCTCCAATGGTACCCCTACAAAACCTTTGTTGGGGTCCTTTTTCTTGCTGGTCTCAAGTCGGTGGTCTGACGAGCGATGCTCTAGACCTTTCTCGAGCTTGCCGGCGAATGGATGCGGTTGGTTGGGACGGAAAGCAGTTGCACTTGTAAGGAGCAAGCTTGCCAGAAGTGGCGCGATGAACTTCATTGTAATGGAGTAAAACAATGGTTTCGATGTATACAAATGGGTTTGATGTAGACAATGCTGGTGATGGGATGTTTGATGGGAGGAGACTGATGAGGACCAGAAGAAAAGAAGTGAGGGAAGATGTTTATATCTTTATAGCTTGTCTCGAACCTCCACCGTGCCGTGCAACTGATAGCCCCAACTTGACTACCCAGATGGATGGAAGTCCGGCAAGGGCGGAAACAACGAAACCATTCAAGGCGGTTGCCGATTGGAAAGCTTGTCACGTCGCGTTGGTGATTCTAGCGACTGAGGGCTGGAACTACCGTCTAAACCATTGGGCAGCTGCGCTTTGCAAACCGCATCGCTACGGCCAAACACTTGGAGATCATCATCCAGAACCAAGGGCAGCTTGTATATTCAGGCTGTTGGTCGTACTCGGTTGGGTGAAAGGGGAACGCCAGGACATGTTGGCGTTCAAGTACGTAAGCTTCGAGTGGTGTCGTCTGCTGCTGGTTCGGGTCGAGTGGTCGAGGCGTCCTGTCAGATGTGGAAGTGTCAGCTCTTTTCGTTGTGGTTTGCTGTCTCTTGAGGT